CTACTGCTACTGCTACTACTGCTACCTCAATCGCGATGAAGACTACGACTATCGGTGCCTGCTGCCATTGCTGTGGCTAACACTGCCAATGCCACGTTTGCCGCTTACAGCCACTCTCCTGGTCGAGCACCAGCACTTGGCCCGCCCTGCGTGCCTGAGTGCCGTCGATGCTGGTGTCACTCCTCCCTACTCCGACATCAGGTGAACGAAAAGACGACGAAGACGAACGCTAATGTTACTACTGTTGCTGCTACGGCTCAGGCATGCTCCGACAACTACGCCTCCGCCTCTGTCTTCTCCTCCTCCTCCTCTCGTCATACTTCTCTTTTTGCCACTGCTGCTCCCACTACTACCACCATCACCAGCACAGCAAGGACACCACGACGACGCGACCATTGCTCCTAGCAGGACGACGAATTCGGCTAATCCTTGCTACTGGACTTGCGATGCATTTCTGCTACTCTCCATGCCATGGGCTTCAGCCGGGCCCCATGAGAGAAGCCTGGACGTCTCACTGAGCTGTGGACCCACTGTTGCCTCCCAGGACTTCCGCAGAACCAGTGCAACACAACATGGTCCGTATGATTTGCCAGGAGACAAGCAAGCACGTGAACGAAAACCCATGCATTTTCTGCTTTCTCTTTGGTCTGCACTCGCACCACTTTGGAAGCAACTGTGTCCAAGACAGCGAGACTTGGCCCTACCCTGAAAACATACTTGCGCTTCAACCACTGCAACATCCTCACTTTCGCCAAGGAAGATGTGCAATGTTGGAGTACGACGAGTACGAATGTTACCAAGACCCGCATCTGCTGCTCAAGAGAAGGTTACCCATTCCTTCTCGCAAGCCTCGAGTGGTGTGTCATGGACGTGAGCGGCTCCGAAGGACTGGATGCCCACTGGTCCAAAGCAAAACGCCCTTGTCGGTGCCCTGCAGGCCGGGCCTCGGAGGACCTCCACTTGGAGTGCGAGGGCCGCTCCGAAGGCGACGGCTGTGCCCACTGGCGCCTCGCTCGGAGCTCCTTCTCCAAACGCAGCTGCTCCTCGAAATACGCCAGAAACGCCCCCAAGCCCGGGCCCCAAGCCGCCCAAGCCCAAGCTCAACGAAAAGCCTTCCGACACCCGCGGGAAGTCCTCGCGAATCCGATAGTTCTCGTCCTGGGATCCGAATCCGCGAGACTGAACCCCAGCACCAGAACCAAGCTGCAGAGACTCCTTCAACATCCTCAGCTCGAGTGCCAGCTGGTCGGCCTTCCGCGAAGCCTGACCATCAACACCTAGCTTTCTCCCTGACCCGTCAATGGCTCAGCCCTGCGGCCTGATCGCCATCTCCGCTCCTCAAGGGCAAGCGCACATCGGACGCAGCACCGTTGCCTGATGGCTCAGGAGTCTGGCCAGCGACGATCTCCACTCGCCTGGCGCTCAGATCTTCGGGCATCCGGTGAGCCGCACACCCCAGATTATTTTCCGACGTTCTCTGAGAATGGCTGGGCATGATTTGCCGTTTCAGGGGTTGAGATGAGAAAGCATCATTCAGCAACCAGCGTCCAAAGCGACCCCAGCCACCAGCGAGCTGGCCGCATGCCCTCTGCCCTTTCATGCCTTTTACTCTGTTCTTGGTGGTTGTGGAGTCTACGACTCAAATTTCTGGAGTCCTGCCTTGTCAAGGTCGCACAGGACACCGGGCCTTGACCAGAAGCACAAAGAAAGACGGACCTTTTCTCGCTTGAGGCCGTCTCAGCTTCGCACCCACAAACTTGGCCCATGATCACCTCGGAGTTCACATGAGCTCGCTGCCATGATTCCGATATGACAAGTCATCCAAGGTGCCGACGATTGAAGTGAAGCGTTCAATAGGCCATGCAACGTGCTGTCGTTGCTCCCACAGATGACAAGAACTGGCAAGTAATGGTGTAGTGCCGACGATGAGGTTCTTTGCATGATTGCGACATCGCTCAAGCCAGATGGGCTGCATTGGCAAAGCCATAAATCAAGGCGCACCTGGCTCGAATTCACAGCACATGCTGTGACAAGTGTCACACCAGATGCTACTTCTCAGGGAGCTGTTTTAGACTTGCCGGTTCGTTCCTGCATGACAGCACCCAGAACTTCGCCAGACTAACTTTTGGTTCACTTTCGTTTAATCTGGCGTGCGTGGCGAGTCAGTCCGTCTTCGCTTCGGCGACGGCTCGTCCTCGCAAGCGGGACACAACAAGGGTGCCGTAACTTGGGCGGGCCGCTTCAACCTACACACACCAGACAAAGGGCCCGGTTCGATTTCAATTCTTCCTGGTAGGCTTGCGTAGCCGGCAAGGAGTCACCGCCCTGGCACGGCAGCCGTACAGAATGCACTGGATACAGAAGTGGATGCAAGATGATGCAAGCGAAGCCCAACCGACACCAAAGTGGCGATCACTTTGCCCGAAGCTGTTCGGGAAACCATTGAAAGTCGCAGTAAGGAATGGCCTGGGATGAGTACGGCCTCAGCATGCGCAAGCTCAGAGACAAAAACACAGCGCCACTCTTGGCTGTGTGGAAATACCGTGGCAGCAGGAGGACTCTGCGACTTTGCGGGGCTCGCACTGCGTCGCTCCCAGGTCCATCGCTCCTCCGGCAGAAGGGAGCTGCGAGGCTTACCGAAACTTGAAACGGACAGTTGTCTCCTTCTGCCGCCATGGGCCGCTCTTCGGTTGCGCTTGGCCTTTGCAAAAAACTGTCTGAAAGTCTTGAGAAGCTCTAGCCCCTAGCGGCCCTAGCGGCCCTAGCAGCCGGCCGCTCTGGGGAAGGCGAAGGACCCGCTGCCTGCGCGAGGAGCTCGCTGTGCCGCGGCCCGAGTCCACCCCCGCTTTGCCGCAACTCTGCGGCCTCTGGCCTCCTGCGGCGCCTCTCGCTCCGGCGAACGCTTGGGCCCTGCGGTGCCGGACCTGGTCGCGCGCTGCGGCGCGATGTGTCCATGTGTCCTTTTGTGTCGATGTCCACTGGCTAGGCCAATGTTCAGGGCCGGGCTGCGCAGCCTCCTTCCCTGCCTCCGTCTCGGTCCCAGAAGCCTTCCTGAGATCGCATCCAGATCACAGAGATCCACGGCATCCGAGTGGTGCGAGGGGTGGGCGGAGGACTCGGCGGCATCTCGCTCGGAGTGTCCTAAGCAGAGCGAGCAGAGCGGTCCCCTCCGCTTCATTGCCTCTCGAAGCCGCAGCGCCTCGCCGACAGGTGAGCCGAAGATCGCCTCCTCCTCGTCGCTGTACACGGCAGAGTTGTACAGCGCCGACCCAAACAGTTCCTCACATCGCATCTCAGCTTTCTCATGGATCTCATGAGCTGTTTCGGGAAAGGAACAAGCCTCCTCATCAAGCGCATCGAACATCGCCTTCAGAAGGTCACCGTTTCACTAAGATACATCCAAAGCCGTAGACAAGTCCTCACATTGACGTCTGGGCTCACCACCGACACGGCTTCCACAGGTACATCCCGCGCCTTTCGACGACTCTGTGGCAAGACTGTCGACAGCCTGTGCCTACTCTCTCTGTGCTAGGGCTAGAGTGCTAGAGACCAGCTCGCAGTGCCAAGAAGCTTGGAAGCTCTGCGAGTGCGCTAGGGGCCTGCTTTGGGCTTTCGGGCACGGCAGTCGGAACGTCCGGCTTCTCCTGACACTTTGGAGCCTAAACGGGCCGATCCAGGCATAGCCTCGCCTCTTCACCCAGGCCCATCTGGGCCATCGCGTGCATCGTTCGCTGTCGCCTCAAGACGTCTCTTGAGTTTCCATGACCCCATGGATCTTTCTTCTGCATCTGCAGACGACAGCTCACAGCCCCCTAAGCACACAGGATCTCAAAGCCTCCCCACATTCCCGAAAACCCTCGCAGTCTCCGGCCGCTTCTGAAATTCCTCTTCCAGTGCTTGTCGCTCCCGATCCTCCTCCTCCTCGCGTGGAAACTTAGGAAAGAGCTTGCAAGGCACCATCGAAGGAAGGCATGGGAGACAATGCCCCACTAAAGCCATGGATTATGAGGCTGACGTCCTCTCGTGGAGCATATCCATTCGCTTGCACATCTGACCCCAAAATCTACAACGGCGAGGCACATTCACATGCCTGCATGCGTGGCGTGAGGTCGCTCACTGAAAACGGCATCGTTTAGGAGGGTGGCTCCTGCCGCTCCATCTCCAAGGCCTGGGACAGGTCAGAAGAGATCAAGGCTGATTTTGGAGCCTAAAGGCCTCAAGACTCAAGAGTTTCGGAGCTTCGACCCTGCTGACTCCACGCTTGAGAACCGAATCGCCTGCAGCTGGTCTCGGGAACAGATAGGCTCCGTGTTCTTCTGCTCGCCAGACTCCCGAGCAGCGATCTTGTACCTGCTTCTCTCTCTCCTCCAGTCCAGCTACAGTGGTACACTTTGCATGGGGTTCCCACGTTAGGTGTGGAAAGAGTTCCTTGATGTGTACGATGTTCCGCGGGACACGGTTCCAGCTGAGGCGCGCGCACGTTTTAGGCTCATGTCATATCATTTACAGAAGATCCGTGTGGCCGCGTCGCTAAGAAAGCCAACTTCATTGTAAATTCGAATACATGGGCCACATTTTGGCCTCGAAAACCTTCTCGCACTCCACGCTCTTGCAAAGGGCAAGCTGCCAGCTCTGAGTACACACTGAGCAATCGACATGCTCATTTTCATGAACGCTTCATGTGGCCACAAGTAGTGCTAGGATGGCATGCATGCCTTACTTTATACTGTATGCCAAACAGTCCGAAAGAATAAAATGCGGCGCTGGCAAGAGCAACGATGTTGGCAACTCTGCAATATGTGGAGAACTCAAAACGACAAGGAAAGCAGATAAGCTTGCACATCGCGACAAGAACTGGAACTTAAGCAAGAACAACAAGGAGAGAGCGAACAAGAGCCAGAAAAAGAAGAGCATGAGCAAGACCAGAAGAAGCAGCTAGAAGAAGCACGCGATGACGGATCCTCCTATATTCCGCAAACACCGGTCCAAACAAGGGGGTGTAAATCCCGTGCTTTCAAACCGCAATTGTTGGTTCTTGCACGTTGCTTTGAGAAGCGTGTCTGTACCTGGGTTTTGCATACATCGACTTCTAGCGATGCTAGGGCTTGCAGCAAGCGTTTTAAAAGTGAGTCGCTTTGCCACCTTGGCTCCCGGCACACTTGGGGCGGGGGGGGGGGGGGGGG